GTGGCTATATGATGCCCGAGTAGCGGACCTGTGCTATCCTCGGAGGCAGTAATTTATATACTAAACAACATATCGTTTCTCTAGTAGATTGATGCTCTCAACAAGGTAAAGAAGACATACAATCTATATCCCTGAGCTTGTATGCTGGCTGTTTTTCCGAAACCTCTCATCCACGCAGCTAACAAGCACTGATAACTGTAGGATTTCTGAACCAAGCATATAGTATAACTAATCAAGCAGGTAACCCACAAGCAGAAGCCATATTCTCTCTCAACACCCTCCAATCAACCTACCCAACCCACTAAAACTTACACCGACCTCCACCCCTCCCCAAAATCTTATCCACATCTCTCCCCGCCTCCTCTACATCCCTCCCCAAATCACGGAACCACAACCACTCAAACCACCCAGCCTGCAACTTCCCCAACACCTTATACATATCTTTCCCCGTCTCAGGATGCTCATAATAAAGCATCATCGCCATCTCATGCGCCCGTTCCAGCTGTTTCTGAGCCCTAGGTCTCCTGACCTGATCATACCCCGCAAACCCGGCCCGGATATACGGATGCAAAAGGTCACCACTCGGAGCGTTCAGGAATATCTTAGCGAGCACATTCGAAAGTACTAACGCATCCTCAAGTCCCTGACCGGCACCGGCAGCCTGGAAAGGCAGCGAAGCGTGAGCACTATCGCCTAACAGCACGACGCGATCACGGTAATATGTCGATGTGTAGCGGTGGTGGAAGAGACCCCATCGGATGGGTTTCGCTTTGCGGAGGAGTCGACGGAAGCGGTCGTCGATGTTTGGGTCGTTGAAGTCGGACATCATTGTCTCGTAGGTCACTTTCTGGGTTACAGCATTGGGAAGATCCCACGGTTTGTTGTCTGCTACGCAGAGGAGGAAATTGAGTTCCTGGTTGCAGTGCTTAGTGGACTGGGATGGATCATTTTGCTAAATGAGCTTTACTTACCTCTCCACCTGAGATCAAATAATGAACACAACAACGCTTCTCACCCAGGTACATCTTCGCCACGTCCGTCAGGTCGCCGAAGATCTCCTTGCCTTCGGCAATGGGTATCACGCCGCGGTAGCAGTACGAGCCAGCGTACACTGGATTGACCTGGCTGGGGTACAGTGGTGATAGCACGTGCTCTCTCACAACGCTCTTGATGCCATCTGCACCGACTAGGATACTGGCCTCGGCGGTGTCGCCGTCAGCGAAGGTTAGGGTGACTTTGTTTGGATGCTGGGTGATATTTGTTAGGCGCTTGCTGAAGCGGACTTTTTCGATCGGAATGAAGCTGGTCATTGTTTGGAGGACATCGTTGCGGTGTGCCTGAACCATTATTAGCATGACTGAACTCGAAATGGGGATGTCAAGGATGGCATACAGCTCTGCGAACGTAGTCCGGATGACCCCAGGACGATTTACCGTACCAAGGCTCTTTGAGACCTGCAGTGTTTGCCAATTAACAATTTGGTCACTGATTAGTTCTGAAATAGGCTATATGCATACCAAGACCTTCCTTCAGAAGCATCCCTTCAAAAAAGATATTCTGAGCATCTCCAGGCTTATTACCGATACAGAATCGCTCAAGTTTCGAAATGAAGCCCTCTTCAATCATATCCAAAGCCAAGTCACCATTGGTTCCGAACCCTATGCCGGCACTATAGCCAGTCAGAAAGGCAAACCGTGAATCTGATCAGATGGACGACAAAGCAACGAAACTTACCCGACAGTGGAATACTGGGATTCTTCTTCATAGACCGTAAATGGTACGCCCTGTTTGTGTAGTCCCATCGCCAGAGCAAGGCCTCCAATGCCGGCGCCTAGAGACAGTCATCCGTGAATCCGGTGCCATGAGTGAGTATAAGAGTGACTTAGACGTACCGACGATAGCAACGTGCATGTCTTTTACTTTATCTCCCGCCATGATAATAGGTTTCAGCTACGTTATCTGCTATTAGAGTTTCTGCCAAGGTTTCTGTAGAAGATTATTCTGTCGATCCTTTGACGAAGACAAGACCGGCTGCTATCTCAAGGACGGGCAAATGGATAGCCTCGCGTGCGGGGTTGGCGGGTTGGGTCGGATGTAAGCCCTCTGCATCTCGATAAGCGCGCTATGCGCGGACACTCCGACAAGAGCATGTTTCTGAATGAAAAAGCCTAATAGTGAAATCGCTGATTTACTTTGAGATGGCTGAATAATCTCCAATCTCGTCCCTGGATTCTACCTAAACTCTGACAGGTCAGACGAGCGGTGGAGATCTTATATCTGTCGAAATAGTACTATTTAATTACTGCCAAATGGGTAAAGATGCCTAAATAAAGTGCAACAAGAATGGGAATACGAAATTCGATTGCACGGGTCGTTGGCTACTCTGTACAATCTGAGAGCGCAAGCCTGGAATTTACAGAGTTGTTTGCGTGACATACTACCGATGAGCTGGTGCGCGTTATTTAGTTGTAACTAGCTTTCCAAGGATGTAACTTGCAAGAGTAGGGGGGTATAGGTCAACCATATTTCATGGAAAGAGTCATATTGTTCAGACAGAAGGCGGGGAAGTCCTTCCTCCCAGCTACTATTATTCTCTTTGACTGAGACAGAAACCTTGGACCGCCAGATCTATCCTCCGTTGCGAACATAGACTGTTTATGCGGTTGAACAACACAATAGAGCTGTCGAAATCCTGAGTCCCTTCACGAACAAATTGTCTCATGGATTCGCAGACAGTTCCACATTTGTGCCAGACTATGATGAGAAGTAGAAAGACAGAGGCACACCGAGAAAGTATCGCGCACGAGCATACCAGCCTCTAACTAATCAGTAGCGTGCTCCTCCTTGACCATCGGTCTTAATAGAGCCTTGGTGTCTCCCACAGCCTGACTGCACATATATAACAGGAAAAGCCGGAAGTTCGTCTCCCTCGCGCCCGGAGTATAGAAGTCGTGGAGACGAGTCTTCAGCACAACCAACTCTTTGCCATCGAAGTAAGCGATCAGAATTCTCGCCTTCAGATTGTTTGTGCATGATGTCAAGAGAACCTAGAATGCCTCTATTAGTCGGGAAGATTCAAGAGGAAGCTGATTTTGGGGAGACATCAACTCACCGGAGCCACAACGTGGTCTTGCAGCTCTACCCTCCCAAGCCGGGTCCTCATGACGCCGACTAGAACAAGAAGTTCGGAACGGAGGATGTTATTATCGCACACTCCCTCATGAGTCACGATCAGGTTTATGTGAGGAAGTTCCTGGCCCTCGGGCTGGTTCGGATACCAAGCATCTTCGAAGCTGAGAGGTGGTGAGGCCAGAGGATCACTACCAGGGTCTGTGAACATAGCCATATTCATATAACGTTCCTTGATTATGGTATTATTGAAGGACCTGGCGGATGGGTGCTTGTCAGTATGCGTAGCTATCATGGAATATTTGCGTATATACGCAGTGGTTAACTGACCTTCCGAACCAGCCTGACAGATCATCGAGCGTATGTTCGACCCCTGTGGTTCTCCTTGCGTGCCATGTATATTCGCAGACGAACACACTGGACAGGAGAAGCCCAGAGTCGTCACGTTCCGGATCAAGCTCGCCGGTCGATTCACGCGACCTCTCTTCATCGAGGTCTGCGAAGCACGCCTCATTGGTTCGGATGGATTTTTTAGTATCCGGGTCGTCAAGATCAAGGGGAAACTGCTCGAGCTTATCCAAGGTCCAAGGCTTGAAATAAGTCTGTGCAGTAGCCGAGGAGCCACCGTCGGTGCGCAGCCTGAGGTCATGGCACCTGATGTTGTATTCGGCAGCCTGATCGTTGGTGAGACTGGTCAACGGCGAAAGCTTCACGGACTGATGTATCTCTCGAAGGTTAACTAGAACCTCCTTCCGCGCTCGTTTGAAAGTATCATTATTCACTTTTCTTTTCTCTCTCGAGCACCTCAACATGCTGAAGAGCTTACGCAGTGACATTTTGGAGACGCTTGTTGCTGAATGACTTGGGGGAACGTTGTCATGGGGAGAATAGACACATCCTTGCCTATGACTCACAAATGAGGTAGAATGTATGTTATGTAGGAAGTTGCGGGTGGCTCCTCCAACCATGGGTTCAGCTAAGGTACTACTAGTAGTAGTGAGAAATGCAAACCAACATTTTCTGCCCTATTTTTGCCAATCATCACGAATATGCAGAAAAGCTGAACTCTGATGATTGTCGATTATGTAACTAGAGATTTGATATGTGGGACTGTCATCTTACGAAATGCTCTGGCTTTGATTATGAAAGATGAGGTTAATGCGGATTCCATGTCGTGAAATAAGGAGCAATGTCCTTGACGATCACCATCTAACCTAAGCACAATCCACTAAACAACCAACCATCTATACCACATAATGACTCACGCACGCCTCAAACAACAGCTAACAGTACTGAAAATTCAACCACGCGATCGGCGGCGGGATAACTCCCCGTGTTGTTTGCTCCACGCCATTGTAGCTACACTTACAAGCAGATGGAAGACAATGATCCCTTTCATTACCATACGGTAGGCCGTCAGGCAATTGACATTGCGACGGTGAACAGACTTCCTATCCTCGTTCGGGCGAAAAATAGCGTTGGCAACAAAGGTGAAGCTTTCTTTTAAAAGACATACGCTGCCATATGCTGCGATTGCGCAGGACTTCGAAGCCAGCCATAGAGAAACCCTAGCCGCACTTAGAAGCGCGTTAGACAGCTTTCATAAAGGTTAACATATTGCATCATCTGTAGTGTCTTCATAAGCCAAGTAATTGTCCCTTCATGGTGGTTTGCCAAGCGAAGCATTGTTGGTCAGAAAACGATTGGGCATTGCAGGGGTAGGGGGTAATGCCTCCTCTTGCCCCCTACCCCTGCAATGCCCAATCATTTCTCCAGGCGCAGCTCCGTGTGACAACACTCGGATAACCACCCATGGATAAACCTCAAGACTTGTGTAATACTGCTAGCTACGGGGACGGGTTGCTATCGTCATGGACGCCAGAACTCAACCGGGATATGTTACTCATTTGGAACAGTACGTTCTTCAACTTCAGTCTGTTATAAGAATGTGGCAGCCTTATGTTCCACAACATGTAATCCGCCAGTCGCCTGCTGTTTGGGAGCAGCATATTCCAGCTGAAAGGTCATTAGAGATACTACAACCATCGATACATAAAAAGTCAGACGCTCCAGCATCTGAAGGGGGTGTGTCAAGACGAAGCCTTGCTTTGCAAGCATATATTAAAAGAATACCAAGAGCAAAGGATTGGACGTGCTCTCTAAAACCTCCGCAGCGTATCCTGGACCTGATATTCCAGCTCAACACCAGCGCAACCTCAACGAAAGAACAGGTCATACAACCACATCCAAACATCATTTCCGTTGTTCAGCATTTTTCTGAGATAACGGTGTCGAGCTTCAAGGATTCTCGGATTCTTCGACTTCTGGCGAAGTACAATAAGCTGATTTTCTGCGCAATTTGCCACGTCGCATGCTGTGCGGGCGCCTCGAAACAGAATGTGGATAGCGCAATGAAAAGACTTTCAAATAGTCATTCATCCTATCTTGACCAGTTACGTCAAGGGGCAGCATGGCAACTCGAAGCCATCAATAAACTTCATGAGAATTCTGAATGGGGTTTAAGGAGTAGCGACATACTATTCGATTGTTTGTCTTTCGTAGTATATATACTTAGAAAATTTGAGCTGACGAATCCTAGTTCCACCGGCTTTTGAGTCTATGCGGCGCTGGGGAAAATCACAGGAGTCAATGAAGACTTTTGTCGATACTTTGAATGACAGATCATATGTCGAGGGTATGGAACATAGTGCTGGGATGGCTCTATCTGTACCTTGCATTCTGAAATGTATTTTTGGAAAAGTTTTGAGGTATGTAATGAAGACTCAGGACCTAAGATAGCGTTCTAACAGAGCCAGTCTTGAGATCATTTGCAATTCTTGTCATTGCAACTTCGAAATTGCTCAACGCGTTTTCCTGCAATATTATATGAGAGACTATGGCCAGGATGCACTAGATGAAAAGGAGTACCGTTTGTCATTCTGCTCGATTGAGACTGGGCTCCAGACAATAGCCAAACATGCATCTGAACGGCCCCCAAAGCGACGTCGAATAGGTGGGCCCAACTCATCATCTGCGAGCACGCCAGCCAGTCCCGGGTCCCCAGCTTCTTCGGATCGAACAGGCGGAATGGACAGGACGTCTCCAAATTCACCGGTCAATCCGCCGTCAGCCGCCTCTCTACATCGGCCAAACACTGCAAGCACGCCGTTCAGTGTCCGGTCCCTTACCCCTTCACATCCAGAATTGCAGCAGCCAGATACGCTGAGCAAGCCATTTCAGCCAATCAACTCATCGGGGGCCCGTCCTGATACCCACGTAGCAGATAAACGTTCTTTTGAGCAAATAAACCTCGGTAAGGCGCCCTAATATACAAAACATTCAGATCGCTGATGAAATGCAGATGACCCTACCCGACTATGCTTAACAGAACCGGCCATTCCGTCATTCACATACATTTCTGCAATTCCATCATTGTCTTCTCTCAATGAATCAGATTTCCAGAACCATGCAGAGGGACTGCCTTCAACTCCACTTGATCCCTGCTTGCCGTCCTTTTCACAAATAACGGGTATCCCGTCTCCTTGGTCATGCAACGCTCCGAGTCCAGGTCACAACGCAGACACACGGATTTAATACTTCTATCAGTCCGCTCCAGTCCACAGATTCCCCAACTTTTAGTGATAATTGAACGTCATGGTTCACGAGTGAAATTATTGCGTTATCTTCGTGCAGTGAGATCGCCGTTAGAGTACCGTAGTGTTCTCGGGGAGATGCGCCTTTTTTGAACTGTATCAAGCTAGTTTTCATGTTCTTCTGTCCAAGTCAGCAGCATTTCCAGAAGGAGAACGATAGGTGGTTGGCCCAAACCTCTTTCTGAAAAGGGTGAATGAGATTAGCGGGAACATTTCGACAGATTCTCATATGTGGTGCATCATCCAAGGTGGGAAACCATCCATTCGGTAGCCAGCTCACCAGCCTGTCGCACGAATCTCGTTCGATATTTGCTGGGGCTCGACGAAGATAGGCCATAGGTCTCTTATCCCCAGAGAAATCATAAACAACAGATATACCCTACAGCGAGCCCAGGTAGATTAGCTTGGTTCTGAAATTCTTCTATGATGAGGTTGTTGTAAAGCTGTGCTTTGGCGGGGTAAGAATGAAGCTGTGTCACGTGTATATGTTTAACCCCGCTGTGACAGGTGCTCGCATGTGACAGGTGCTCGCATGTGACCACAATAGTAAACTACTGTACTCATGCTTTCGCTTGGCACTGAACTGCTTATACTAAGAACTTCCTGTATGCACTATTCATTCTTAGGCGCAATGGTGCGCAATCCCTGAGCGTACGGATGTCTCGGTCCCACTCAACAATCGTGTCTTTGACAAATCAAGGACTCGCCCGACTGCATGTAATACAACCTAAATCAATTGGATGGCCTTCGCGCCATACCTAGTAACAACTATTCAGTGCATGTCTATCGCAAAGTCGACAATGATATCCAAGAGTTCTAATTGACTCAAGGTGTTTCAAATAAGAATTTGACCCACACCATGCTATTGTTCTCCGCGCTATGTTGCTTCGTACAGAGCCAATGATGGCCAGTCGTCGCAAAGATCAGGCACGCATATCAGCAGCTGATAGGAGAATTTCAAGTTTCCCTGGACACTATTCTCCTACGCCTGCGTTAGCAAGATGGCTATGCTCAATTTCTTCTTCACTCTTCTACTTATCTCTTTCCATTTGACTATTGGGGGGACAGGGACATGGTAACCTATATAAAGGCCTAAAAGTCCATACATCTTTCGGTCCTTCATTATATATACGAGCACCATTTGATTTCGTTATATCTGCTCTATTCGTATGATCCTTGGCTCCCTCCGTCTTCAAAAATGATATACTGACATTCACACAGCAGATCCAATCATGCGTCGTGGATTCACATCTGCAGCCAGGGCTTTGCTACAGTTCCTCTGGAATGGGACTTCTGCACACCCTGAGTACGAGACCATGCTGACCGACAAACTTCGAAAGAACTCGAAACTATCCAAAGCTGATAAAGTCGAGTTTGCGTACGTATACTTGATTGCCCGACGCATATAACGATTACTAACAACGTAATATCCAAGAGGTGGTCCTCATACCTCTCCCGCAGACCCAAAATTGCGCGCTTCCGGTCAGATCTATGAGGGAGCAAATCGCCTTACTTCAGTGCATATTTATGACGATGGGACAGTCACCTACTCGAAGAAGAGCTATAATGATGCCCAGGAATAAGCATGAAGAGACTACGTTGGTTTCATTTTGAATGTCTCACTCTAGCCAATGCCCTTGGTATACAGACTCCCTGATCACAAAGTCCATGTGAATAATTCTATGGATTCAAGCATTCATTTTCTAAGTACTAGTTCAAGGGTTTTGTGTTTGGCCGACCAAAAATATGGTTGACTTTACAGAGCTTCTCCGGATCACTTGTTTGAACCAACGTTCTCTGCCGAATCTCGGTGCAGCATAGATATCACTATTTTTACTTCACTTGATGTCCTAAAGTCTTCTAGATTATTAGAAAATGAGTACAATTCCATGATAAGCGTCACCAGTTCTCGTGGTTCAATAATGGTCGCGTTTGTATATGGAACGATCGGCGGAGTGGGAGATTACGTCAGCCAAACTGGCTGACTGTTGTTTATCTGCGAGTCTGCGACTCTTCCCTTTTTGATGATACTCTTCATCTTCCCTCGAATCTCATGGTCTTAGAACATATGTCAGCCACTTTCAAACGATTCATGAGTCCTTTAGCGGCTTTAAGACATCGTCCATGGCCATCGTCACCAGCTGTTGCGCCTCAGCTTGATATCAAGGAGCCCATCGAAGAGGAAAAGACTCCATACTACAGCCCTGCGAACTTCTATCCGGCCCATCTAGGAGAAGTTCTCCATGACAGGTATCAGCTCGTAGCGAAACTTGGATATGGCTCTAGCTCGACCATCTGGCTGGCTCGTGACCTGAAGCAGTTTGTTTCTCTGTCGGCTTCTCTTCGCCCAGCTATTGCTAATGAGTCCAGGTGGCTATGGTTAAGCGATAAATATGTCGCTTTGAAACTTAATGCTAGCTTGCATCAAGGAAATGGTGATACTGCTCAGTCTGAACAGGATACCCTCAGACTCATATCCGGCAAGAATCCCAGCCATAAGGGCTATCCCTTTGTTCGACGTCTTCTTGATTCATTTCAGTTCCAACATGAGTCAAGAAAGTGTCAGACTTTGGTATTTGAGCCTCTACGAGAGCCCCTTTGGCTTTATAAAACAAGGTTCATTGGGGATACTATACCCTCAGATGTGTTAAAAATCATGATTCAAATGATCCTCCAGGGGCTAGATTATCTTCATACTGAGTGCCATATTATACACACAGGTATGAAGCGAATCCCAACACGAAGATTGAATTAACAATTTGATGTCAGATCTGAAGCCGGATAATATAATGGTCAAAATTGAAGACCCATCAATTTTGGCAAAGAGTGCTGAGGATGAATACAAAAATCCCCTCCCACAAAAGACCTACCGCGATGGTCGTACTATCTACTTATCAAGAAATAACTACGGACTGACTAGCAAGACTACTGGAATGATTCAGATCACAGATTTCGATCTATCTGTTAGGGGTGACAGGCCCAATTTTGGGTGCATACAAGCAGAAATTTATCGTGCACCAGAAGTCATTCTCGATGCTGGCTATTCATATAGTGCTGATATATGGAATCTTGGCATTATGGTATGCTTCCTCCTGGAGTCGTTTAGTGAGTTTCTCCTAACCTTCAACACTTAGTTATGGGATGTGCTCGAGGGCAACGCTCTCTTCAAGGACATTGATCCACTTCATGTCGGTTGCTATAATGAGCAGAACCACTTTGCACACATAATAGCACTACTCGGACAGCCTCCAAAGGAACTATTGGACACTGGTAAACGAACATCACGTTTCTACGCACCCACAGGCAGGTAACTCTAGTTAATGCCTCTGACAATATTACTAATTGACCGTAGGGGAGTTTACCGGTCCAACTGTCGACTCATCGAGGTTTGACTTTGAACATTCTCTCAGCAAGATCAGAGGCCAAAATAAGAGAATGTTTATAGAATTTATCCGAAGGATGATCAAATGGAATCCACAAGAACGAAGCACGGCAAGGGAGTTACTTCAGGATCCGTGGCTTCATACTGAATTTGAGGAAAATTGATGTCTAAGATTTTCGAAGACTCAATGTGTACATGTACATTCCAGCAAGCGGCGACTACTATGTCGAATATATTAATTTCATATAATTTTTTAGCTAGATTAGATTTTTAGTTGTTCTGACCATTCCTTGGCGAGGGCATTTTGTTCTCACGGCTATATCCTAGGGGTGTAACTTTAATTCTACAGCGGCCTGATCACTCCTGAATGAATCCTTTTGACTTTCGTCTAAGAATCGGGTATATGTAATATACTAGATAATCCATGCCTCCGGCGGAGTATTCGTAGAATGTCGCCAGAAAGGTCCTGCTTGTTCAAGATCAGCCAATGGGTCCTCTTCTTTGCATTCTAGGAACTACTGATTCAGATCCTCTTACCGGCAACCACTTTACCAGGGACCACACAGCTAAGTTCCTGTAGTGTATCAACGGTGCGATACAAGTAGGACAATTAGAGTATTTCTGGCGTTTAATATACGAACAAATTTCGGCTGATGCGGCCACTTGTCTACTGGACGCCAGTAGAGACTGGTAAATGGCAAAAACAAAAACATTACAGACAAGTATATCTCTTGAAGGCCAACTAAAATGTTCTTCTGTGCTTTTTTAAAAGATTTTATTATTTGTTTATCTTCTCTCTCTCAAGTATCTCAATATGTTAGAAAGTTTACACAGTGACATTTCGGGATGCGCTTGTCGCCCCATGACTTGAGAGACAGGTAGGTATCTTGGAAGAAGAGAACACAACGTAAATAAGGGAAATATTCTTGCTTATAACTCGCAAATTAGATAGAATCTTGTGTTATGTAGGAAGTTGCGGGTGGCTCCCCTAACCATGGTCTCGACTGGGATACAAGTAAATATGAACCAATGTTTTCGCCCATGTCAAGATGATGATAATATCCAGGAAAGTAAGAAAGTCATAAACACCAAGCAACACAATACTATTGGTAGCGCTCCGGCATGGCGTGAGAAACCTCAGAATCTACCCACTCAAGGGAAGACTGGACGCCGAATAACTCCCACATCTGCGCGTTGTTCCAAGATGATACCATATTTGGATCTATGGCCCCGTCATCGACATTACCAATGCGAGTTGCGCTATCGTAAAAGTAATTATCAGCATCAATCTGCGGAATACTCACTTCCGCTTCTGAACTCGATGGCATCGTAGACAAGTTAGTCTCGTCAAGTGGCATAGTCATCGTGTTAGCGCTGCCGTCTCCTTGCATAAGCGGATCGCATAAGTTGAGGAACGTAGTAAACAAGTGGTATAGTTTGGAGATAGAAGGATTGGTGTTTATAAATCGATGCAGCCCTCTAGTAGTTTCATGCATAAGTTGGTAGTCTTCCGTATTAGAGGTTCCGACCACATTGCAGAACAAGAGGTAATATGGAGTCATGGGATAGAAAAGCACGGTCCTAGTGATAACTCTTTCAGAGTCAAGTCAAATATAGAGTGAGAATAGGATGCCCACCATGATAAAAACATTGAATAGGTACCGACAAAGCTATCATCCTCGTTGAGTAATTTGTGTAGTCGTCCCAAGGCCTGGAAGGCGTGGCGGGCTTGTACTAGGCATTCTTCGCGAGCCTGAGGTTGAGCTTGCACCCTAGGGCTAAGGTGTAGTAATGTTGCCATAATGGCATGATATCGGAACTCAGTTGCAATCCATTCCACCTGTAAAGCAGGACTAGAATCACGGCATCGCTGGTGAAACCGTTAGACTACCCCAAAGAGAGACGGCAATGCGGAGGATAGGTAAAAACTTACCTCGTCAATCACGCCTCGCAAAGAAGCGAGATTTTGTATGGCTGCGTCAAGGGTTGTGTCCACGTCGCTGATATCACTGAGGCCATGATTCCTATGGACTACCTCCATTGCAGCTTCTTGAATCTGAGCAAGCTCAACCACTGTTTTGACAATCAGACTGAGAGCGCCACTTTCCAACGGAATTAGTGACGCTGGGTTGAGTTTCAGCCTTGGCAATGAAGGGGGGCGAAGCAGAAGCATGCTCAGCATTTTGTCAAGGTAGAAGCAAGAAAAAAGACAGAAACGAGCATCTTGATCCTCCTGACAACGAACTGGAGTATCGTCTCTGATTGTATGATAGTTCATGGCGACAAGTATTTGCGAAGCGAACGCCGTGAGAGTCCAGCCTCGAGTTGGATATCCCTGCATTTGGTGCAGGAGTGCCTAAGTGGAGTCTTGGTCAACTTCAGTTCGAGCGACGGGGAGGGAGAACATACGCCCGAAAGTAAGGCCTGAACCAGAGTGATAGAATATGTACCAACAAAATTTATCTGATCCAATGCCCGCAAAGCCGCGGACGCGTATCTCTCTTGGGTCTTTTTGACGTGTGTGCGGAGCCGCCCGCCCAAGCGCTGCTGCGGTACGCGGGCGAGAAAGAACAGTGCTTTGGTGTAAACGCAAACCTGATAATGCAGAGATGTCTGCCGATCTAGTTTGCCCTCTGCAAGCGAGAGGCTCATGTGCTCTAGGCATCTGATCGATATATGGTCGGGCCAGTAGAAGTGTCTCTGAGCGGAGTGCTGATGTAATGACATATCTATACGATGTCAGAGTTACTTGGCTTTCTAAGAGTTTCGATAACACGAACCCATAGACATCATAAGGTACACTTCTAAAGAGAACTCTTCCCGGACAGATGCATCATGGTCGTCTGCACATCTCGGGTTCCCACTGAAAACCTTAGGCTCTGTGGAAGATGCGGATATCTTGTTGACCAGCAATAAGGCGTTCCCCAGAACCGTACGCCTCTGGGGAGATAGATGATTGCTATTCTGCAATTCCTGTTGGATTGACCGTCGTGCCTCGCTGACTTGGTGAATAGGCGTGTCCTCGCTCACAGCTGGAGACTCGGAGACCCTCTGACAAGGAGTTTCCCGTTTCACGGAATTCAGATTCCAGATAACAGTAGCTGGAACATGAGACGATATGGGCTGATCTGTTCTGGCACTATTTGATTCCCCAGCTTGGGATCGAGCATAGCTCTGTGAAGAGGTGGCTGCAGCACTTGA